CTACATGAGAAAGTGTATGTCTTAATACAAATTGTAAAGTTGATCTCTACCTATTGGAATTGTATAGTACTAATTAAAAGGAAATTATTAGACTAAATGATAATTAAAATTTTATTAAGTTTGGAATAAGAGTTGTATTAATGGTGGTAGTTGAATATTGCCTAGTATTGTTGATTACCTGATAGAAGTTGTTGAAGGGTTTAGTGAAAATTTAAGGGATTAATGAGAAATTTAAAAGATTATTTGTTTCCAAAAGCAGTTTAATTCTTTAATTTTATGTTGATATAATTTTTTTATTTTTAATGCAATAATTCATATATGGAGAAAATAATGATAAATGTGGACAATGAAAAATGATAGTTGAATGGTGTTTGAAAGAGAAAATTTTAAAATTGTTTTCTTGTTTTTGTACATGCTTGATTTCACTAAGGAGGATTAAGTTCAAAATGTTGGATACTAATGGCAGTTCTATTAACCTTTGACACGTCATGGTACATCAAGCTAGCAATGTGATAACCCTTATAAAAATAAATTAATATACATATATATATGATAATTGGTTTATGTATGTTTATATTAAATCCTTATACAATTATGCTAATAGAGGAAGCTGATGCAGTGGTAGTTAGGCTGGATTATTTTCATTTGGTCCCAAGTTCGAACCGTAGTGAGCCCATGGAACATTTTTCTTCCTTTGCTGATTTTCCTCATAAAAATTACCAAATTACCCCTAATATAATTATATTTTTTTTACTCTTCTTTTGTTCTTCAGAAAGGATTCTGGAGCAAAAGAGAAAGAGAGAGTCGGTGGAGAGAGTAAGAGAAATCCTAGGTCTATAAATTTCACTTCCTCCGTGTACAGCAGTCACTAGCGTTGGTGACTACTGAGGTTCCGTCCGCCGTTGCTAGTGGATTGAGTGTGTGTGTAAGTGGCTTCCTTCTTCCCTACCGTGATGCCGTCTGGTGTGTATGCGGGCTCGAGCTGCAACTCGCCTCCTCCTCTGTTCTGGGTGTTATAAAAGAGCACGCTAAACCTTCTCCTTCTTCCTCCTTGAATCGTTGCTGCTTCTCTTCAGTTTCAGCTGTTATTTTCGTCGGTACGCTTGCCTCTACCCCATCTGTCGTTGGTCAGTCAACACATGATCTTTACACTCTGTTTTTCTTTATTTATTTCAGATTACTAAGCTCTTTCTCCCTTCTTTATCCAGGTGCATGTGTGAGTATTTAGATCTTCCTTCTCTTTATTATCACTAGTGATTATCGTTGGAAAGAGTTGGAGACTTGTGCTGCACCGATTGCTCCGGCTGTCTTTCATGTTCTTTGTCTCTGTTTTCCTCTTCATTTTTTGCTTTGGTTCTATCTGTGGCGTCATCTTCGAGTAACAGTTGGGATGAGAAACCAAGTTGCCAGAGCTGCGGCAGTGCTGTTATGAATGTGGATTATTGTTGCTGATTCATTTCCTGTGTTTCCTTGCGAGTAGTGCCCAGTTTTCTGCTTCCCTGTTCTGCTGCAATCTTCATTTTCTTCTTCTTTCTCCTTTGTTGTCTGCTGCCATCTGGGTTGAGAAGGTGAGAAATTTTAAACTCTCCTATTGTTAATCCACTATGTCGTGAGAGTAAGAGATAAGGACATGTGTGATGTGCGTATACGTTGAATGCAGAAGTAGAGTTGTATGTGCTACTGTTACTGTTTGGTATATGTAATCATGACAACCTCACATTGTTCTGTCATCATTCATGCTGTTACGTAAGAAGAAGAAGACTGAAATTTGAGCTAGAAATTCACCTAACTTGGAGATAATATATGATATATGTGAGTTGAGGACTGGGATTTCAAAAATTTATTCCCTTTGTGATTGTGCGTACATGCAAAAAAAAACAAGAAGAAGAAGAGAGGAGGAATTTCTATTTAAATGAATATTATGGTTATGCAAGGAAGCAAGATGATATTGTAGATTGAGATTCCAATTAAAAATTATGGAATTAGAGGATATTGTAAGGTCTCAATAAAACTGAAAAATTTAGGAAGGAAAATATTAACATCAACTTAGACAATTATGTATGTATGTTGTTTGGTAAAATACCCAGGACAAATTTATTTATTTATTTATTTATATTCTAATAGGGTGCGCAGAAGAAAGGGAACCTGACCAAAATTGAAAGAAAGGATATCTTTAAAAATTTTGAAGCTCCGACGAGTAAGTGAATAGCATTCCATTTAATATTTTATCTTTATTTTAATAGCCTCTTCCTGAATTATTTTTCTTATGAACTATATTAATTATGAAAATTATGAGATATCAGTGAAAGACAAACGAGTTATGATATATGCATTCATTGATTCTTACAAAGATATTTCCAAGTTTGATGGAAGTAATCTTGTATGGTTGTTAAACTTTAAAATTTATTGGATACTCGATTAATACAAATTTATGATTTTGACAAACACTGAGATTTGGCACAATTCATGCGAGTTTGATTTTGAGAATGACAATTTAAATTCAAAATAATCATTTCTCTCGCATGTTGAAACGAGATTTCTAAGAGAACTTTATACAGAACACTGTTGCTAACGGCAGTTCTGTTAGCCCGTAGCGCTGTGGTTAAACACTAGCTAGTTTGTTCGTGAGTTTTATTCTCACATTTGGTATTCGTGGGCTTCGTACCTGCATTTGATTTCATGGCCTGAGCCACATTTGGTTACTTACCCTCGTGGGCTGTGTGTCCACGTTTGATTCGTAGCTCTGGCTGCGTTTGGTTACTTACCCTCGTGGATTGGTGTGTCCACGTTTGTTTTCGTGGCATAAGCCGCGTTTGGTTATTTACCCTCGTGAACTGAGTGTTCACGTTTGTAACCTGTTCTGTTGAGTTCTCAAAATTTTAAATGTTGATTAATATGTGTTTCTGAAATTTATCCGGTGTTGACTAGTAATTTGTATCACTTTATATGAGAGCAAATGGTTTCTTTAAGCATGAGAACATAAATTGTTCTCTACTTATTCTTATTTTTCAAATATGATTATAATTTATATACTTATAATTTTGGTGGAATTACTTTCAATTATTTGACACCATTATTAGAGACTGTCAATTTAAATTTTAAGAATTTTATCATGAGAATGCTATTCACTGGAAAAATTATTTGGCTTCAGATTGGTTAGCTGACGCCGATTCTACCAGTGACCTCAAAAAGGGCAACTAGCTACAGTGGGTGGATATTTTGATTGGTATTATTGTCTTTATGTAAATATATAATTTGTATATCCTTTTGATTTGAGAGAAAGAATAGATGCTCCACATAGGTTGTTGATAAACTTTATTTTTTGATCTGTATAAGGGTTGTTGGCTGGAAGGAGCTACGCTCCTGATTTATACTGTTATCTGTCAGAATTTTATTGTAGAATTTTCGGGAGATCCTAGTTACAGGGGAGGTTCTGCCAAAATTTCTACAAAAATATCGACACTCTTTTATGATATTGAATCTAATAAGTTATTTTAATTCTCATAGGATTTGATTAAATTTTGTTCCTTTCTTTTGTAAAATGAAATCAATGTTTATTTTAAGGCTTACGGGAATGTGTAAGTGACTCATACCCGTGCCGGTCACCCTCTATTTTGGGGCGTGACAAGCAAGGTGTTTGTGGGAGGTGCTAGCCTTATGTGAAGACTAACACACTTGGATTAAAGGGATGGTAATTTATGAGCATTGTACTCACACCTGTTTTCATGGGCCTCATGCCTGCACTTGATTTATGGCTTCTGCCACCCTTGTTTTGTGGCTTTTAACTACATTTGACTGATTATTTACTCTCATGGACTGTTTGTCCATGCTTGATTAGTTATTTACCTTTGTAGATTGCGTGTCCATGCTTGTATTTCATGCTGACAAAGCTCTCCTAGATTTAAATTAAAATTTATCTTTTTTTTTTATTTTTTTTCCTTACTTCTCTAAGGGCATTCTACCTAGTCATACCATCACTGAAAATTTTTAAAATACATGAGTAGTACAAATGTTGATAAATTTTTAGTTTTCTATTGGCATTTTTAAATTTCACAGTTATGTTATTGAGAAAACTTATTATTTATTGTCAATTAAGTATATGTCTAATTGTTTTGTTGATATCTTCATAAATTCTTTTTATTGTTTATTTATAATTTTGATTGGAATGCTACTCACTAGAAATTTCTTTGGTCTCAGATATTATAGTTGACCCTGCACCTTCAGCTAAACATTGAGGGGCTCTATTGCTTTTTGGAACAGAAGAAGCATGCGTTAGTTACTTTTAATGTAAATATATTTTGTATTAGAAAAATTTTAGTTTAGTGCTGCACGTATACTATAGTTAGGTCTTAGTTTTATTTTGCTGATATGTAATTTGTTGGTGAGGAGCTAGTCTCCTTTATTGGATTGATTGGCTGGTTTTGCTATTGTAAGAATTTTAAGAGGTTTAAATTATAAGGGAGACTCTGTTGAAATTTTTACAAAATATTTAAGACTTTATGAACTTTATAAGCATATAAAAAAACTATATATCGATAATTTAGCTTATTTTCTAGTTAATTAAGGCTTATAAAATATGAGACTATCTTATATTATATGTGGGTCATACCTGTAGTATTGGGTTGTGATAAGTTATAATAAAGTCAAAACTAGAAGAATCAAATGATTAATTTTTTCATATAATATTATATGCAATTTTATCAATATTTTCCCTAAAATTTATGTCCTTTATTGTAATTTGTACATTTAAAGTTAATTTTGATTAAAATCATCCAAACATTTTTAATTTTATTAAAATTAATTTCAAAAAATCTCATCCAAATACCATCAAGTTCTAACATAATCAATTATAATAAAAATTTATTATGTTAATCAATTTTATTCATAATTAATTATACCATAATGAAATTCAAATGGGCCCGTAGCTTCAGCTAGCCTTTCCAGTGAGAAAAATTTCTATTTCATTTCTAATAACTTCTAAAATCAAGAGGCAATAAAGAGTAATTTTATTATATGAAGGCTGTTAGAGCCCATGACTTCTCACATACACATGCTGACTTTGTGAGCCAAGTGGTTTTTTCGCAAAACCATATTAAATTGAACGGTTTTACCAAAGTAAAATAAACTAAACAGCGAGCTACAACTAATATTTAAAAAAAAAAAAAACACTGCCTTATTATAGGTTGGACTGAATTCTACAATCACGCACACAAGAGACCTTGATTAGATAGCGAGGAGATCATCGACATGATGAGTGACTGGATTGATCAGATTCCCATGGTTGGCATTACCATTTTGATCATTTTGATATATTTCACTAGCTCTGTAAATCCAATAATCCGAACGTCCATGAAATAGAATAATAATAATCCGAATAGAAAGTTCTCCAACTTGACGAAAAAGTGGTAGACGAATTCCAAGGGGATAGAATCCTACAAAGTAAAAAATGAAGATGAGCGAAATGAAGATCCATCCAATGAAACTTATAACATTTGCAAGCAAAGTGTTATTGCTCACAACCAAACGCATGGCAGCCATAAATGCCACAGTCATGGTTATAACAGCCACCACGACAAGAAGCTTGGCATGGGAATATGCATTTTCTGCAGCATGACGATCACCCAGATGCATCCACAAAAGAATAACAGTACTGAAAGTGGAGCAGTACATGGAGACAGTATTGAAAGCCATGAATATTTTGAAGAATGTTTGATCAGCCAACACCGCTCTGCCTCTTTCTCTGGAGACATTATCATCAGAAGAGTAAAACCCACCCGGTACTGTGAAACCAGCTGCAAATGTCACTGTAGCTATAAGTACAGCTACAGTTATGAGTGAGTTGGCTCCATCCTTCACGTTCCATTCTTTATTGGCTGCACGTGGCATTCTAATTAAATTTTTATTGAGGGGGATACCAGCCGTTTTTAAAATCATTCTTGCTAGAAGCTGCATGGTAATTGAATCAAACAAGTATTTGTTTCCATGTTAAATTCTTTTATGAAGATGAAATTCTCTAGGATAAAAACCTTTTTACAAACTACATCAGAGACGCATAATGAATAGGTAGATACTTATAACCATACCTCTTGACCTGTCCTCGGATATTTAGTTTGCATCCAAACAATATCTCTAGCAGTTAAACTTTGGTCATTCACAAGGTTCACATCGATCCTTTCATCTCGCGATAGGTGGAGAAGTGTCCAAAGATGAAGTTTTCTTGAAGCCAAATGCAAGGGTGCATCTCCATTTAGGTCTTTCTCATTCACATTTGCGGCATGGATGTCTGAGTGTTTCAATAGGAATTTTACCATATCGTTTTGTCCACTCTCTGCTGCAATGTGAAGAATGTTTTGACCTTTATTATTGAGCCAAATTCTGGTATAAGGCCATCCTCCGCTAAGCAATTCCTTTACCACCTGAACATGACGATTTCTGCAAGCAATGTGAATTGGAAGATCACCATTTAAGTTTCGTTGAAAGGCAACAAGATTTGATTTCGTTAAAAGTTCACGGACACCTTCCACATAACTAGAGTATGCTGCATAATGAAGCGGAGTATTTCCATGTTCATCTCTAAGGTACAATAGCTGTTGTTTTTCATCTGCTACTATCTCCTTCAAAAGAGCTACAAGAAAAGGCAAATACATATGATAAATGAACTGGAATAAACACAAAAACAGTATATTGATTTTAATGTCGCACCGCACACACACACACACATACACACACAAACATACTAGTATTGCGTTTTGATATGGCGGCAAAAAGTGGAGTTCCCCCGACTCCTATAAATGTCCCGATCTGAGGGAAACGGAATCTGCAAGAGGCGATGAAGAATTTCAACATCCCCTGTTTGGACTGCCACATATATTGGTGAGTCTGCTGGGTAGATTTCCCAATAGAGTGGCCAACTACTTTCACTTTGCTCACTGAGAAGGAAATCAAACCCCTCATGATGTTTGCTCAGAATAGCTTCGTGTAGAGCTCTATTCCCAAACTTGTTGGGTAACATAATAAAGTTATCCTTACTGCTAGCATCGTCAAATTTGGACAAGATGACTCTCATCGCTTCAATATTCTTAGCTCTCGCAGCAACATGAAGCGCTGTGTCTTTTCTGTTGTTTGTCACAATCAGCAAAAAATTATTATCAACAAGCAGCTGTCCGATCCTTGTTCTCCCATGTTCAGCTGCAACATGCAGCAACGAATCACCCGTGGGAGTGACTTGATGTAAGACGGTGGAACAATCAAGTTGTTTTTCTCCGCATACTTTCTCCAAGACACCTAGAAATTTCTTTACATCTTCATTCTCATCACGAACAGCATCGTACAGCTGATGACCCATGGTATCATCAATAGCGCCAATTTGATCATGATTCACCGATGAAACGAACTGCTTCTTCAACAGTTCCTCCAGCTTGTTGTAGGATGGCACCTTCCAGTTTGAATCATTCGGTCCCATAGGAATTTTCAAATGATACAGATTTCTAATTGTAATTAGCCCCTCAATCAAATTCAAACCGAATTATCGGTTGATTGACGCTTGAGTTCAACTTAATTTCGGCAGAAGTAGAACCTTTATATATGCATTAACAACTCGAGTGGATGAGTTTCTTCGGTGAAAACTGAACCTTTTTATTTAACGAAATAGATCTTTATGCAACGAATATTCGAACATTCATATTAAATTAAGAAGCAATGGTTTTTGGAGCAAATTATCTTGAAATTTCAATTAATTTCTAGTCGACCGGTGATTAATCAAGCAATAACAAATACATAAAATCGAAATATTATTTTTTTTAGTTGTGGAGCTAGCTGGCCTTGGCAGTTGGCAACATTTGATGTCAATATATATATATATATATATATATTAGCATTTCATCAAACAATACCATGTGATAGGTACATATTTGACCAACGATATAAAATATGTTACTGATCCCAAAAAAAGAAAAAACAGATGACATAAAATATGTTGACGGGAGGATTTTTTTTTTTTATATATAACATTGACGGGAGAATCGTTGCTAAAAGTTGTTGTTGTTATTATTATTATTTTGGTAGTGCTAGTACCCACTCAATATTAATTTAATTAATGTAAATGCTGCAACTTATTTATTGATCAAATGCTGTTGGCAAGAAAAATCCGATGCAATGAGATTGGTAGAGTAATTATATTCGATGAGACAAGGCAAATTAAAATGTCTTCCGTTAATGTTATAAAAGAAAGTCTTCGGACAACATATTTTATATCACCTTTTTTTTTTTTTGCCATTACAATATTTTATATCGCGACTCACATGGATACCTATGACATGATAAAATGCTAAAATAAATTTAAAAAAAATTGACTTCATATGCAGCCAACTGCCAAGGCCAGACAGCCCCACATCTAATAAAAATAACATTTTGATTTTTATATACTTCCTTGACTTATAATCTAAGTCATTATTAATTAAATTACATTTATCAAAAAATGTTGGTTAAAACCTTGATTTTTGAAAAATATCCACATCTTTCCAATTGTGCTCTAAAATATAACAAATATGACACTTGATTTATTCAAGACACTATCATTAATTACTCAATAAAAAAATATAATTGAAAATATATATATATATATATATATATATATGTATATAATACCTATTCAATGCTTTATATTTAGAACCAAGCTTCTAGAAAATGACTTATATTGCAGTTTGGAGGAAGTATTTTTTGTTACTTTGATTAATCTTGAGTCGATTGGCAATTACTTGAAATTTCAAGGATAATGTGGTCCAAAAACCATTGCTATGTTCTTAATCTAATATGAATATTTGAATACATTCGTTGCATGTAGATTAATCTAGTTTAACAAAGAAGTTAGTTTTCACCAAAGAAACTAGGAAAATAAATTAAGCAGTTAGTCAGTAGTTACATCCACTTGAATTGTTAATGCATATATAATGGTTCTTTGGACGAAATTAAATTGAACTAAATTAGCAATTAGAAGCTAACCGAGCGACTTTGACTGGCCATTAAAAGTCTGCTTTTTTTGGTAGTGCACCTCAGCCAATAATATGGGAATATTTCAATCTAGATCTCTTAACCAAACTTAATTAAAAAGAGAGCCTATTGAACTCTAAATATTCAATGCAAAGCAAGGATAGTGAAGTGAAATTTAAATATTAAAAGAAATAACAAAATTAACCCTCTTTTAAATTAAAAATATAAAACCTTCAGGATCGCGTTAAACACACACACAACACAAACACTAACTAAAACTTCCCAAACTTCTCTCGATAACTTGAAGTAGAGCAGCTCGATGGGAGAGTGGAGGACGATCAATTTGGCTGAAAGAGTAGGAAGAACCGTCAGCCACTTGAACATTTGAGGGTTATTGATCATTTGCTGTTATTAGTTGGTCTTGATTTTGATTTTGAAGAAGCGAAGGTGACTTGGGAAAAAGTGGACTGTAATACAACCATGTAAGTTAATCGTCCCTTGTTGTTACTCATACTTGTCCCTTATTTATATAAAGGTTATTGAATCTAACACCAACATGTTCCTGATTGATACTTTAGTTCAATTTAATTTCGGCAGAAGGAGAACCTTTATTTATGCATTAACAACTCAAGTGGATGAGAGATTATTTTGTAATGCGTTGTTAATTATTTATTTCTTATAAAAATATGTAGGATTTTACGTACAATTAAACATGTTTTTACCAAAGATGTTTGTAGGAGTATATTCAAATTATTTATTTAAAAACAACCATTAGAATCAGATAATTAATTATATGTATTAAAAAGGAGAAAAGTTTGAAAGACTTTGGTCGTTAACCAACCACCCACTTTTCCTCATAGGTGTGCGTCGATTAAAATGGTCTTACGGCATGGGAGAGAAATGAAACTTTCAGTTTCAGCTGCCATGTGAAGTCAGTAGTCAATGTATAAAATACAAAGTCGATACAAAGTGCAAGTCATTGATTGGATAAAAGAAAGGACAAACAAATGTGTGGAATTTTGATATTTGAAAAGGAAAAAAAGACAAAGTGCAATTACTACCATGGGGTTTGGATTTTAACTAGGTGGATGATAGGTTTCCCGTCGGAACTGGCTTCCTGCTCATCACGGGACGAGCATTATGATGAGATTTAGATCATTTAAATTTAAATTTTGATAGTTTAAATTTCAAATATTATTATATATTATATTATTAAAATAAAAATTTATAAAAATTATAAAATAATTTTAATAAATTTTTTTATTTTTAATACGGTCTAGATTTAATTTAAATGATCCAATTTAATATTAAAATTTTTATAATTAATGCATATTGATTATTCAGATATATTATGCACAGTTCAAATTAATATCAGATTAAATCTGAACTATGCAAATTATATTTGGATAGTCAATGTATAATAATTATAAACATTTTAAAAATTAAATTGAACCCTTTAAATTAAATTTAGATTAGATTCAAAATAAAAAAATTATTTTATAATTTTTATAAATTTTTATTTTAATAAATATAGAATAAAGATATATAATAATATTTGAAATCTAAATTATCACTTGAATGGTCCAGATCTCATCACACGACGAGCACCATACGATGGCAAAGTCATAATATTGCATAGAAGTGCTTAAGTGAATCCAATTTAATATAATATAATTTTATATTTTTTGAATTAAAGCATTCATTTTAAAAATAAATAAATGAACCTAGTTGAGAACCAATTGAATTGGAAACCAGCTCTTGGTCTGGTATAACGCTCAACCAAAATGTTAGAGCTAGTAATTGTTTGCCCAAATACGCAATTTAATTCAGCAGAGGGGAGCCTTTATTATATCCTCACTAGATATATGCAAATCATCTGAATTCAACTACGTACAGATTACACAATTTTTACGCGTCACCCCCACAAAGTGATTGAAATATTAATTATGTTCTCTCACAAATTGGTGAATGAAAATTAACATCTCCAAGAAGACAACTTTGAAAATTGAAATGATCCTGCAAAAGAAATATATATAATAGAATCTTGTTCAATCAGTCAAGTCGATCCGTTTTCTTCTACGAACATGAGAGGGTTCAGCACCATTAAATGAAAGACAGCATGAGAGATGAACAGATAAAGACGTCGAAAATAATGTATCCAAAGAAAAGTGTGGAGACTAATTAAGTTTCTCAGGAATGTAGACAGATAATAACCTGGAAAATGCATCTAGCTTCCTGTGAAAATTCAAAATAGGTACTGCATTTGTTGCAATTACGGTGGGGGCGCACACTTTCTTAATGAGCTATTTCATGTTCTCCCACATATTTTGTCGGTGAAAAGATGTTGATTCCACACACAATTACATTATTGAATATTGACCAGGTCAGTGCAGCTATTGACCAGACACGTTAATAGCACGTTCCGTGTTGGAAGTTTTTTTTTTTTTTTTTTTTAAATTACCTCGAGGAGGTTCATTTAAGTTAGGAAAAATAACAGTTATGTCTCAAAATATTAAATTAATAATAATTAAGTATTTAATAAATTTTTTTAAAAATAAGTTAAAAATATCCATCCACATTATTATAAATCCAAGAGTTTTAATAGTAAATAAGTATTTAAATATCAAATATAACTTAGATTGTATCAAAAAAATTTGTTTATGACTGTTTAAATTGACATAACTAATTCATTTTATAGAAAATTTTGTCAAATCTAAGGCAAAAAATAATTTTTTTAATGAATAACGTTCCAATTATAATTGATGGAGATAATTAAAAATACATTAATGAGTCTTTTATAAATTTAATGAAATAATCAATTGAAAATAATATAAGCACATACCTCATATATATATATATATTGAAAGTTATGTAAATGTAAAAAACCATGAATGCATGAATTAAATTATAATTTATTAGAAATCCAAGTTCCATTTTAAACATTAACATATGTTTAAACATTTTGGGAATTATTCACCTTAGTCTAAAATCCAAATTTATATTGTAAAGGTAACAATTTGCTTTAAAATATTAAATTTCAAGAAAACTTAAGTTTCAAAATTTACTCTTTAATGGAATTTGATCAGAATGATTAATAAGTGTGGACACATAATTCATGAAAATAAATAACTAAAAAGAGTGGACACACAGTCTATAAGGGTAAATAACCAATAAGCATAACTCAAAACTACAAAAACAAACGCGAACATAAAGCTCATGAAATTAAGCACAAGCACAAGTGTCAAGAAAATAAGTATGAGTACTACGCTCACAAATAACTATCCCTCCATTTCAGGTACGTTGACTATCACACCTCTTAAGCACCTTGCTAACTAAGTATATCATGGTACACCAAAGGTTAATGAGTCTACCGTTAGCAACCAGTGTTTTGATTTAGTCTTGTATTTCAAATCAAGCATGCGTGGGTCTAAAATCAACATATTATCCTTTTTCAAAATTACTCATCAAACTCAATATAAATGAATACGTCTGTATATAAATCTCAAGCATAAATCATAATAGTTAATCATCCCTTGTATATAAATCAAACATTATCAAATGAAATAATTGCTTTTAAATATTCGTTTAAACAAATTATAGTTCCAACTCTTTCTATTAAATCTATTGTAATGAAGATATTTCTAAGTACAATAGCAAATAATAAAAATGAAAGTCATAAATCAATAAGGAATAATAAATAAAAATACTCAATCATTTCTCTTGAGGGATTTCAAAAATTATATAAATAAATAATGGCCTGTGAATAAGCTCAATCAATATTAAAAAAAATAAATTTGCTAACAAATTATTGGGACACTATTCACATACTTATAGTGCCCTCAAGGCTTAAGACTCACTTTTTATAACTCCAATTGCGTTTTCCATCTTCCAAATACTCTATAATATATGATAGTATCTTAATGGACTTTATATTTGAACCAACAAGATTCCTTTCAAGAGAACTCACTCAACCAAAATTAACAATAATAATCTTGAAGTTTTAGGAACACAACTTACACATAAAGCTTTTTGTTAAACACCTACTGCATAACATTCTAAACTATTCAATCAAAATTTATAACCTTTAATTCTATTGCCTGACAAATTCCAAGTATCTAAATATAACTTCTAAAATGATAATATATCTTATGAATTATAAGCCATATAACTCTCAATAATCTAGAACTCAAATAAGATCTCATTAACTCCTTAGATAAAATCTTTCACAAAACTCAATTTGAATTAACAAATCAACGTTGCTCAAGCCCAATCATACTTCTTGTGAAATTAACAAGATTACACATAAAAAAAAAAATCAATCAAAACTCTTCTAATAAGCATTTTATTGAACATTTTGCAAGCATTCAATCTTAAACTGATATCCAAGTTCTACCTCTTCAATCTCATATCCCAAAAATTCTCATAATGTCAATATTATAACCAATAACCAAATCAAACTTGATTAGAACTCAAACCTAATCCTCATTCTCTTATTCTTAGTATTAAAAGTTTCAACTCAATTCCTCTTGGTTGTTTTTTTTTATTTATTTTTTTTGACAGCTACAGGGCAGCAGTAAAGTTCAAGAGAAGAATTGCTACTTCTTTCACACGCAAAGCTAACAAGAAGAAGATGAACTGAAGGTACCTCACCTTGGATTGTCACGACACTTGAGCAGGAAGAAGGTACAGAACTACGGCAGAACAGGGGAGGGAAGACGTAATATAACGCACGGAGAAGGAAGAACAAGAAAGCCAACAAAACTAGACCAAGTAGCAGAAATACTCAAGAGCAACACCTCAGTCCCAGTGAAATCGTTTCCCACGCATCAGCTCCCTTACACCAGCAGCGACGTCGCCGTGAATGGAGGACGAAGAAAAACGAACAGGGATGGAGACTCTGCAACGGACGGCGAGTACCCCATTGTCACCGGCGATGAGACACAGATGACGGCGAGGAAGAAACAGTCGATGGTGAGGACCAAAGGAGCAACTCGACGGAGAAGAGAAAAGGAAGAGAAAAAAAAGAAAAAAAAATCAGACGCACTCTCCCTCGCTCTCCCTGCGCGCGCTTCTGGTGTTCGAATGGCAGAGGAGAATTCAAAAAAAAAAAGTGATCCTAATAACTATTTGAAAAAATTTCAGAAAAGGGCACAAAAAAGACAATTTTTTCATAATTTAAAATAAAAAAAATAAATTTTTTCTCAATAAAATTCAAACTCTAAAGCATCAAGAAAGTTATTAACATAATTTCTACGTACTATAAAACTAATTTAAATAAAATATTAATTAAAAGAAATCTTTTTATTTAATTTAAAATTTGAGATCATCGTATAGACTCTGCATGGTAATCAAATCAAATATATCTTTACATTCATATCTGTTATGTGTGTGTATTTATTCTTTTATAGAACAAGATTGATTATATAAGAAGAATCACATATAAGGACTTGGCAAGAAATTGCATACAAGAATTAATAACAAATCTCATTCAAGAAAAAAACAAGTTTATATTTCTATTTTATTAACAATTAATTTCATGTTGATCTTTATCTATGAATAAATTTCTTGCTAAATCTTTGGATGTGATTCTCTCTTGCTTACATAGTCAAAAATAACATGCTCCTAAAAAACTTTACAAAATGAAAGAAATAGTTGATAGATACTTATTGATGGTACCTCACGAAGTGTCTTTGAAATTTTATGTTTCATCCAAGTAATATCTCGAGCTGTTAAAGCTTGGTTGTTCTCAAGGTTCACATTGATTTTGTTGTCTTGTGACAAATAATATAGAGAACAAAGACAAAGTTACACTGAGCCAAATGCAATGGGGCATCTCCATTATGATCTCTCTCGTTCACAATTTCGGGGCAGATCTTGGGTTTCCCAATAAGTAATTGACCATCTTGGCTTGTCCGTTCATTTCTGCCATGTGTAGAATGTTACGACCTTTATTATTGAGCCAAAGTCCAGCATCAAACCAGTCCAGTTCGAGAAATTTTTCCACCACCTGAACATGACCCATTTTACTGGAAAAGTGAACTGGAAGATTGCCCTTTGAATTTCGTTGAAAAGCAATCATCTTAGACTTGGTTAACATTATACGAAAACCTTCCACATCACCAGCATATGCTGCTTAATGAAGGGGGGTGTTGCCCTTTTCATCTGTTTGATACATGAATTCTTCATTCAGATTCACTATCCTTTGCAATAGAACTGCACTTAATTAAAAGCAAGAAAATATACTAGAAGTGAACGTGAAACAAACCCAAAAGGTGTGCATGCGTATTAACAAATTAGTATATTGTTAAGAACCGTGATTTTGTTTTGACACGGCAGCATGAATTGGACAGTCTTCGTTTGAAATGGCATCTACTGAGCTAAATGGAATTTGCAAGAGGCGTTCAAGAATCTCCACATTCCCTACCAGGACTGCCAAATACCTTGGTGATTTAATTTACAACCATGGTGGGAGTTCCAAGTCGAATAACAAGCCTTCTGATCACTAGTAGTATGTTCATCACTTAAAAGGACATTAACTCCTTCGAGATGCTTACACAGAACAGCTTCGTGAAAAGCTGTGTTCCCATAATTATTCTGTGATGTTATACACTTCCCTATATCATTCAATTCAATCAATCCAGATTGAATGATCTCTTTACATTTGGAGAGAATGACTTTCATTGCTTCAATCTTTTTAGCCCTGGCAGCAACATGAAGTGGAGTGTCTCCTTTCATGTTTCTCTTATTCAAAAGCACCGGAAAGTGTTGAGCAATCAGCTCTACAACTTCCACTTTCCCAAATTCAGCAGCAACATGAAGTAACAAATCACTCCGTGGAGTAACATGATTGAAATTTTTGGACAAATCAAGTTTATTTTGTATACATACCTTCTCCAATACGTCAAAGAAGTTATCTATATCTGTATCTGTAGTAACCCTGATAAAATAAAATAAATATATATATATATATATGATAATTTGTTTAAGTGTGTTTATATTAGTTAGGAGTGTTGGTGTAGTGAAAACCATGCAAATAATCTATCTATTTGATCCCAAGTTTGAATCCGGATAGGGACCAAGGAGTTGTATTTTTTTTTTTTAACTTTATAAAATTACCATGCAAATAATCTATCTATTTGACCCCAAATAATCAATCAATTTTTTCTCTCTTTTTCTAGCCTTCTTTGAACGTTCTGAGGAGTAGAGAGTTGGATAGCTGGTACTAAACCCTTGCCATGTCTCCCGTCGATCTCTGCCTTCTCCCTTCTCAACTACTGGTCGTGCAACTGTTCGTGCGAGTCACCGTCGCGAGTGTGCCTGCCGCCATTAAGTCTGCCACTGCTGTGAGTTCTTCCTCTGTTTCACTGCCATTTCTCTTCTCGTTTTCTGTGAGATTGTGGCAAGTACGTGGGCATCTTCTCCTTCCTTCTCTTAAATTTTTGTTCACTGTGGCTGTTAGTAGAGCTCAGAGGTTCCATTCACCGCTGCACTAGTTTGGGCCTGTTGTGCGGTGGGAGTTGATTAGTGGCTGTGGGAGGTTCATTTTTGTTGGCTGACACTCTTCCCCTGCACCCGCTGTTGTTCCTTCCTCCCAGTGTATGCAAATGTTAATGGAGGGTATTTGGAGGAGGAGAGATTTAGTTGACAATAGAAAGGTGAATTCTTTAATTCTAAGAATTTTAAGTTAGTGGATAACATTCTAACTAATTTTTTCAATTAAAATTTCCTTTATTAAAATATTATGTTTCTCTGCAAATTATTTTAATAACAATAATGTGATTTTTGGAATTGTTGATTAAAATTACTTTATTTTGACAAAATTACTTTACTAGATTTGAAATATTAGTTAATCAATAAACATATGTTTGAATTTTGATTATGAGATTTTATTTTATTAAATATTGAATTGATACAGAAAATTATTCATACAAGTTTAACATTGAAAATAAAAATTTTATTTAATAGTGATTATTTTCTCGCATGTTTGAAATGCATTTGAAAGAGATTTTATACAGAATACTAGTAACTAACGGTAGTTTCATTAAATAAATAAATCGTATCATATGTAGATCTTTACATGCATGCTCTGTTAAATAAATACATATATACACATATTATTTTGTAGAACAATATCAATTATAGAATCAAAGATGAAAATACTTGATAAAAGGAAGAAATAGTTTATATATATACTTATCAGTGTTACCTCATGATGTGCATTAGAATGTTACACTTCATCCAAACAATACCTAGAGCTGTTAAACCTTTGTATTCTCAAGGTTCACATTGATTCTTTTGTCTCGTGACAAATGGCATAGAGACCAAACACACAGTTTTGCTGAAGCCAAATGTTGTGGGGTATCTCTATTATGGTCTCTTTCATTCACAGTTTCAAGACGGATCTTTGGGTTTCCCAATAAGTATTTCACCATCTTGTTTTATCCACTCATTGCTGCCAAGTGAAGAATGATACGACCTTCATTATTGAGCTGAAGTCCAACATCAAACCATTCTAGTTTCAGAAATCTTTTGACCACCTTAACATGACCCATTTTACAGGCAAGATGACTTTCAATATTTTATTAAATTTATTAGTTTTTTTAATGTAATTGAAAGTCATTTATTTAATTTTTTTTTTAGCAAAAATGTGACTAAGGGGATGATTGTATGTGAAAATGGGCTTAAAAATGTGTTAGAAATTAGTGGATCAATTCTAGCATTAATTCTAAATTTTATGCATATAGGAAGGCCCAATTTAGGGACCCAAAGATGAAAATTCTGAAGCCCAAGTTAAAAGAATTAAATCTAAAAAGAAAATCTAAACAATTCATGATAATTTAATTATGTAGAATTTTGGAAGATCCTATTTACAAAGGAGGTTCTACTGAAATTTCTACAAAACTATTAAATTTTCAATATAATGATTTCTATTAAGTATGTTATAATTTTCAATACAAATTCAATTATGTTCAAAAATGAAAAGATTTTTAAATTTTGGACTTAAGGGATGTGTGATATGGTTCACATCTCATGCCAGTCACCCTCTATTTTTAGAGCGTGACAGAATGACCTAAAGTTAAAGGGTTTAAAAACTCATGATTGCCATATTTTAATGGAGAATTTTATTTTAGTGGCTATACATGGTATTTTACCCAATAATGTGTGAGGTACAATTATAAAACTATGTTACTTCTTTAGGTGCCTTTGTAGTAAAATAATTAATCTTGACAAATTACTAAAGTTTCAAACCTGAATTGTGCAAACATTATGTGAGTTACAGATATTTTTCTCTCCTGTATTTTTTAATATTATGGTCCACCTAACCGTTCACTTGGTTAGGGAGGTATAATTATGCGGCCCTACTTATTTGATGTGAATATACCCTTTTGAGCATAATATGAAAGTATTGAAAGGGTATGTGAAAAGTCAGAGTTGATCAAAAGGTTACATTATCGAACGATATATTAATGAATATGCTATTCACTTCTGTAGTCAATACTTAAATAATTCAAGGGATGTTGATGATGAAGCTACAGAATGGACAATGGGAAGAAAAGTTATCATTATCTCAAGTGACTAATGGGAAAACGTACACCTATTTGTGTTGTACAATTCTTCAGAGATTGATGAATATGCAAAAATTCATAAGGCAGAGCTAAAAAGTCAGCACCATCATTGATTAGAGAGTTGGATCATCAAATTGCACAGTAAATAGTTCATTCACTAGTTGAAAGAGCATATCAAAGAGAAGTACAATGCTGATCCTGATTCAATTCCTGATAGATTAAGATGGCTAGCACAAGATATGAGCAAACATGTCTTCTCTTACATGAGCTATACTAGCAATGGGTACAAGTTCTACACGAAGGAGCATGATGACTAAAGCATGATGCAAAATGGTGAATCTACCATAGGTGATAGCATGCACATTTCCAGTACAAAAAGATAAAAAACCCATTCATGCAAAAATGCATTAATTCAAGGTAATTAAGCACGTTTGAGAGTTAGATTATGTAACATCTTGGACTTTAACTTTGGGAATTTTCATTATTTATAAGGGTATTTTACCCATTATTTTAAGGAAACTTATATAGCTAATGGATCTTTGGATAGCCTTAAAAGAGGGCTAGATTAAAGTATGAGCGGGCCATGGCATACAGAGAGATTCAAATCAAGTGTGGAATTCTCTGCACCATGCACCACGATGTATGTGCAAAATCTCCACTTATCAAATTGCGACATTTAACTCAAAATTAGAGAAACAGAGATATCAAGAGGAAGCAACGAAAGGAGCTCGTGGTTTGTTAGGGCATGATCTTTGGACCACTTTGGAAGTATTTGAAGCTTAAATCATCATTTGGGTAAGCTTTCCTTTCCTTCTCCTCTCCATTTTATGCAAAAATTCTAACTTTAGGGCATCTAAGCACTTGTTTTCGATTATGGTTGAGTAATGGACGAACCTATTATCTTAAATAAGGTCTTAAGGAATTAAGTCAAGCTTCTAAACCTATATTTATAGATTACATAGAGATTTGAAATTTTTGGTGAGGTTTTAGATGAATCCTGAGTAGAAATTGGATGATTTAGAGCAATATGGGTAATGTACTGGTGCTATTTATGTATTAGGATGTTGGATAGGATTAATATAGTATGTTAGAAGGATTATTGGGGTTAAATTGAGGTTTTGAGCATAATGGGTATCCCTAGTTGTATTGTATATGGGGTGATTAGTGAGAGGATTTGACAATAGTTTAATTATGTAAACTAATCTCGATTGAGCATTGTGATACTAGTAGATGTATGTGGAGCTGTTGATAGATCACAATAATCCTTTTAGTGACAAAATGGTTAAGGTAATCGAGCTGTCTAATCTCCTTTTTTGTATATTTGGATGGCAGCGTGTTCAATTTAGAAGGTATGTTTTGGTTTAATACTAGCCTATTATTAATATGAAATTATGATTTTGAAGTTATGTAAAGTAAAATGAAAACTTGTTCTTATGCATAAATTACTTGTGAAATTTTATAGTTTAGGTGGAAATGTGAATTGTGCTAAATGATATCTTATGGATATATGTTGGATATATTAAGCATGTTTAGCATGATCATTGTGAAAGGATAGGAGTTCACCCTAGTATGTTGTCAGGACATTGTTTAAAAATTTATATAATACACTAGTACCATAGAGGCCCCGGTGCTCAATATTATATTATTTAGAAGTCTCAATACTATAAGTGGTAGATTGGACATTGACACCCCTAATGTTTATAAAAAGTGAGAATCTATGGTCCACAGTGAGAGAAGGCACTCTTGGCCAGAGTTTCCTTCTACTAATGATATGTTTGGACTAGTCCAGTCATATAGGCTTGGTTCTATCAAATTGTTAGCCCATAAATTTAGTCAGAAGACATAAAGAGGGTATAAGGTAGTGTGTTGATCATACATATCATACTATGACCATATGTGTAGATTTATGAGACATGTTATATGGTTTACTATGCCACTTCACATATGCATGAGTTGTTCTCACACATGAGTAGTTGATTAGACTATTTGATTACTAAGTCCTCAACTCACCCTGTGGTTACATTTTACAAGTAAAGGCTCTGATAAGGGCAAGAAAAAGGAGGGTACAATCGAGTATCAAGGGGACTAACTTACAATTGTATGCCCTTTTATTTATTTTTGGGTCTTTAATGAATATTATATGCATATGCCAACTTAGGGAAAAAAACA